TGTATTGAGTTGAATAAAATCCATCGACATATATTTCAATAACTGCTGTTTTAGAGTTCAGGGGAGTTTTATAGATATGAATTCCTTTTCTCAACCTTGAGGACTTCCACTGAAAAACGAGATCGTCACACTGGTCCTGGGGGCATCTGCATTCCCCAGGGTCACGCGTTCATGAAGCATTTACTGTCATTTCGATCCTGCCTGGCTAGAATGCCGATAAGGCATAAATGCCACTTATCAAGGAAACATAAATAACAGGAAACTTTTGTCCAGGACAGATGACCCTGGTGAGACTCTGATGAGGAGGTCTTTACCAGGTGAACGCCGGAAACCTATGTGCTTCAGCCACTCAGGGCCGCGTACACCACGTGTGACAAAGCTGCAGTTTCTGCTGACATGCAGGAGGGGTTACCCAGGTTCTGAGCCCTACTCATTATGCCTCACTTGCAGATCCTCTCATTTTAAATAAGTGTGGTTTTTAAAAACTGGAGAGGCCTAAGGGTATGGGGCAGGCAGGAGTGATATTTTTCACTGTCTCTGTTTCCTGAGAAAAAGGAATGTTGCATCTTCAAAACAACAGCTGTCAGAATGATTTTCATCAGATTAAATAAATCCTCAAAGCCGCGATTACAGTTTCTAGAATCTTGGAAATGTAGGTTATGCTTTGCATGGAACCCTAATGGAATTTAAAATACACATGTTTTTGCAAACACAGCTTCACGAGCAGACTCTTTACCTGGTTTTCTCATTTGTGAACTTTGGTTTAAGCTCAAGGAAGTCAGAAAGAGTTTTTACTGTATGAATGGACTAAAAAAACATTGACCGATTTGAGATGCTGTTTGCCGCAGATGGAAAAGGGCGGTGACCCGGGGCCCCATTGGCCGCGCCCGAAGGGAACCCGCCCTGCAGCTCACACCCGCCCAGGCACGGGCCGTGTGAAACTGTCCATCAGACATCACGCCAGAGGCCAGCCTCTTGTCGTCTTCTCACGGGGGCCACCTTTGTCCTCACTAGGGGTTACATCCTTACCAGTGACTATGGCCTTTTCAGTTTTAGAAAAGAGAAGAAGACTTTGGGCAGGGTTGGGGAGAGTCTGTCATAAAGACCTTGAAGGAATAATCAACACAGGTTGATATTGTTTCTTGATGCAAAGAAGCATATTCTTAAAATCATTTGCCGAATCTAAACCACAGTGAGATGCCACTGCACGCTCACTAGATAGTAACAAGCATCAGTGAGAATGTGAGGCGCTGAAACCCTGTGCGTTGCTGGTGGGGATCGGAAATGGCAGGACTTATGTGGGCGTCAGTATGGCGGCTCCTCGGGTTAAAGACAGAATCAACACACGGCCCAACAAGTCCACCTCTGAGTGTCCACACAGACAAATTGAAGGCAGGGTCTCAAACAGAATGGGGTACTCCCACGTTCATAGCATCATTAATCACCACAGTCCAAAAGGCGGAAACAACTCAAGCGTCCATCAGCAGAGGAGTGGATAAGCCAAATGTGCTGTAGCCACACAGTGCTGTATCACTCAGCCTTTAAAAAGCAGGGAAATTCTGACACCTGCTACCACATGGATGAACCTTGAAGACATTATGCTCAGTGAAATAAGCCAGACACAAGAGGAAAACCTCCATGAGGTACTAGACCATTGAACTGTCAGGACAGATAATGGAACGGCATCACTAGGGCTCAAGGGAAGGGAGAATAGGGGTCTTCATCTGTTAGGGTTCCTGTTGAGGTGATGAGAACTCCTGCTGGTGGTGGCTGTATAACTGTGCGTGCACTTAATGGCACTGGACTGTACAATTAAAAATGGCTTAAAGGCACATGTTTAAAAGTGTTCATTTGTCACTGAACTAGCTGGGGCTTTGAAGCAAACCTGGACTCTGGAGGAGGGCTGCTTACCAAAACTGACACAGGCTGGAGTCCCCCCTCCAGCCGTGGTAGGACTTGGCGGGCACAGCACAATTCTTTGATGTTTTAAAAACAGAACAAACAAAAAAAGTGCACTCTCGCAGCAAGAGCCTCTTCTCTGGATCCACGGGGTATTTTCCTTTGCTCTGAGCCCAGCGGGCTTTCCTCGGGTGCACTACTCCTTGATGAGCAGAATCCAAAACACCCTCACAACTCAACAGCCTAAGTACTGGTGAGGCAGAGCGTGGGCGCCTCTATAAGAATGGGGTTAGTGAGGAGAATCATCTTCATAGGGCATGTGGACCCTTAGGTCTGCACCCCCAGCCTCTGACCCCCCTTTGGGGATGAGCTGCGATGGGAGGGGGGTGTCTCCTGTAGCCCCAGAATCCAGAGTGCCCAGAGCTGTTTAGCAGTCATGCTGTGACAGTCTCCTTGAGAGGCTTGTTTGAGGGGAGACGCTAAAATAGGTGCCAGGAAAATAAAAAAGACACCCACCACTGGACATCAGACAGCAGAAGTGAGGCTGCAGCCTCCACCCATACTTTCTGATGTCCAGGCCAGAGCAGGGTCCCTATGACCTCTTATCATAACCATCCACCCATGCACTTCCCAAGACACACTCAAGTCAAGGCCTAGAACCCACCCTCAAGTTGTTGAATGTAGCAGACACCCAGGGCCAGAGTGCAAAGGGTCCCCTGTGAGGCCAGGGAGGCCATCGAGGGAAGTGTGGGACCCATGACAGGGCTCTGAGGTCTGGAGACCCTTCCTCCACACACACAGAGGGGAACAGGTGCAGGAAACAGACCAATGGGGTGGCCGCTGCAGGCTGTCATTCTGCCTGTGACGGAGCCACCTCCACGGCCACCTCCTCGGAGCAGTATCTGCTGATTCGGTTACAATTTTTTACAGTTCTGTTCGGTGCATAAATGTGTGTGTGTGTTATACACATAATAATATAGAAGTGATTTTAACTTCTTTTTGCTTGTCTGCTTGTCAGCAATACATTGGTGTATATGTAGAGACAGAAAGGATTATATATATACACGTATACATGTATATATAAAGTGTGTGTGTGTGTGTGTGTGTGTGTGTGTGTGTGTAAAACGACCCAAGCTTCCTCGGCTGCCCTTTGGGGCTCCCTGGGCAGAGGAGCTCATCTCCCTGACCGTGTAGCTCTGTCTTCTGACCAGAGTCACTCCCCATGGTGACTTCCTCATCAGGTTCTTGCAGGGAGGACCTTCTGCTTTTACCTTCAGAGCCTGGACTCGGGTCACAGACCAGTAAAAAGAGTGGAGACGAGGGCAGCTGTCACGCACTGCACTCCTGGTACTTGCAAGTGGCCAGGCCCTCCTGGACGGCGGCGCTGCAAAATTAGTTATCAGAACAAACCATCCCCATCTCAAGCACCTCCTCGATTTTTAAAGGAACACTCAACGGTTAAGAAACTTCTGTGCTGCCATTTCCATATCTCTTTCCAAAAAAGTGAGAATCCAGAGCACGATTTCCAAGCTTTGCACGCAGACCCCTCAGCCGTGAGTCCTGGGCGGACCCCCCAGGGCGGAGTGAGCGGTCACTGCAGCTGTGTTTGAATTCACACAGACCCAAACACACCACAGACGGGCTTACGCTTGAGCTGAGCTTACTCATCTCTGCCTAGCTATTGATCCTGTGGCCAATCTACCTTTGTGATAAAAGGGGAACAAATCCAGGCCAGTAAACCACACAACTAAAGCTAAGTAAAGCCACGGTCATGAGGGGGCATTTCCGTACTGATTAGTAAGACTTGAAGTTTCTTAATCTCTTGGAGTAACAGAAATTAGTTGGGGGAATTTTGGGTGTTTGCGCTAAACTCTTTGGGATTTGAACAGTGAACTTTCTGAACACGGGGACTTTTGCCTGAAGCAACACAAAGCTAAGACAAGGGGTTTCCTCCAAAGGACCCAGCAGCAGAGCTGGTGGGGGGCAAGCCGGGCAGCTCACGATGGATTCTGCTGTCTGCCCAGCAAGACTGGCCTGGAGCGAATCTGTCCACCTCCTCGAGCTGCCCCCGCCACACTCGCCGCATCGTCACATATTGTTCCCGGGTCTCTCTGTCCCTGCTCAAGCCATTTTGGAGGTGTGTGCACCTGTGTGCTGCCTGGAACTGTGTTCTGATATGTTAAAACTGTGACACGTGCAGCCATTTGAAAATGTGTAGAAGAGCAAATAATAACATGCACATCTGCTCACTGTCTCCTAAGTAGAGAAAGCAGATTACTAAACAATAGGACTCTTTTTGTAAGAAAAGCAAAAGAAAATAAGGACACAAGAGTGTCTGCTTATCCATAGAAAGACTAGAAGGGTGCCCACTGTGTTAACAGTGATTGTCTCCAGGTGGTAGAATTATAAGTGATTCTAACATGTCTTAGTTTGTCTGCTTCTCAACGATAAATGTGTATTACTTTGGTCCTATAATCCATCCCCTCAGTTTTGGTGATAGTGGGTGAGCTCAGTATGATAAAAGACATTAAAAATGACAATAGCTTTTCAGAAGGACCTTTCATTTCTACCACTTGGGGTTGCATAGGGGCCAGGAGCTTTGCATTGGCTCTGAATCGCACCCACTAGAAGCTGCTGAAAGTCACAGGCTCCATAGGACTGTGGAAGGGGACCCTCGGCCTACAGGACAGGGAGCTCCTTAGAGTCTCTGAGTTCGTCTAGTGTGACTTTGTTCTCCTGCTTCAACAAGCAACTATGCCTATAATCCCCTGAAACCCAAACCACTGGGCTTGCCCATAGTTACACACTGAGGGTGAACCAAAGAACAAGAATAAAAAGGAAGTGTGTTCAGGCAGCTCATCTGCTATTTGCTACAATCCATTGCCTGAGCTCACCTTGAGAGGAGGACTCCAAGGTGTCCTGAGCCCAGGTGGTGGTTGTGACGGAAAAATACAGAGGAAGAGGTTTGTTTCCTGCTTCTGCCTCCCTCTTCATTTCCCTCCCTTAAAAGTAGCCTCGTTCACCTTCTTGTCACCTGCCACAGTCCAGTCCCCTTTTGTGAGTTGTTCTGCTAAATTGCCTTTTCCCTTCTTGTCTTGCAGTCCTCCTAAACCCACTGTGTTCATCTCCGGCGTGATCGCCCGGGTAAGCACCTTCCTCAACCCTGGCCTCAGCATGGGCTCTTTCAGTTCCGTCCGTCTTGGTTAAACGCTGCTCTTCTGTCTGGTCCAGTGGTGCTTTGTCATCTCCCGTCCCTGGAAGCACAGTGAGGAATGGCACAAGTGACAACATGGAGCTCCCACGGGGAAGGGGCGCAGCTGCCTCCCCCTCCCCCACCTGTCTCCCTTCCCTTCAGTCACAGCTACCCCCAGCCAAGTGCTGCCGGGAGACCTGTGAGCTGAGAATGCTTTTACAGTGTCAAATGGTTGAAAAAATCGAAATAAGAATTCTACGTAGTGGTGCTTGAAAATGGTATGCAATTCAGGTTTCCATGTCCATGGATAAAGTTTTCATGGCACACAGCTGTACCCGTCACACATGCACTGTCCATGGCTCAGCCGAATACCTGAGGCAGGAAATACGACTCAAAGAACGTAAAATATTTACTACCTGACATGGTACAGAAAATGTTCGCCAACCCCAGGACTGAACTCACAGCTTTTGGTCACACCCATGACGTTTCAAGAGCACCCTCTTCGGGTGGACCCAGCAATTTGTGACTGCGGGCCTCCCGCCAGCCAGCTCCCACTTTGAGGAGGATGCGGTAACCCCATCCGCAGTTCTGTGGCTCACAGTGCATCTGGGCACTTAGCGTATGACATGTAACGAAAATCCGTTGCCAGGGACAGCTCACCATAGCCATCCAGAGACTCTGGGACAGACAAGTGACACATCCACTACATGTGAAAAAATTAAATGCAGACACCAGTTCAAGGTCAAACATGGTCCATTGTCTCAGCCAGAGCAGCCGCTGCTCCGCCTGCCCCGGCCACACAGGCACTGCTGGGCAGGAGAGGGGGAGTCCTCCCTTAAAAGCAGCCGGGCACCTTCTCCAGGATTCGGCAGATTCGCTGAGAGTCAGGAGCCACCGCACACTTTTCAGCCCTGCCCTGTGTGTTTCCTTCTTGACTTGCAGTTATGGTGGCAAATCTGCATTTAAGACCCTGAATTCAGTTCTATCTGGCCCCCAGTTGAAAAGATTACAAGAACAGTTCTAGCAGAAGCAAGACATCTGAACAGAGTTCCTCATGAGAGACAGCGAGCATTCTCACATTCCAGGTGCTGTGTGGGCCTCAGTGACCCTTCAGCTCACCCGAGAGTCTCAGGACCCCTGCAGCCCAGGAGGCAGGCTTCTGCCTGCCACAGGTCCCCCTTCCATCACCTGTGCTGCAGGGACACAGTGGGCACAGGGTTGGGACTTCGCTCCTGCACAAGCCTGCTATTTGGTGTTGATGAACCCATGCGTTTGTTCTTTCTCCTACAGGGCGACAAAGACTTCCCCCCAGCGGCTGCCCAGGTGGCTCACCAGAAGCCCCACGCCTCCATAGACAAGCACGTGTCCCCGAGAACCCAGAACATCCAGCAGCCCCGCAAGTGACCTGCAGGGATGCAGCGCCCTCTGCAGCCATGCCTGGTTTCCCGACATTTGGTATTTCCCCGGCAAAGAGAACTGCATCTTCGAAACGCGGCTCCACTGGGAAATCTAAGGCAAAGCAAAGCGCCCTTTCTTTGCCTTACATTTCTATATCAAAAACGAGAAACAGACCCAAACCTCATTTCCAGGGAGTCCTGGTTGCTATCTGAGGACCACAGTGCCATTAGCAGAACTTGCCAAGTCCTGAGCAAAATGAAGTTGTTCAGAGTTTAGCTTCAGTTCTATTTCAGCAATTGACTAGAATTTTTGTGGGTGTTCTCAAAAACAAAAAGAGACAAATATGGGAGGATTGCATTAGGATTAAGGGAAAAGCTCAATTATTTCATCATTTTCAGTATTAGGACAATTCAGTCTTAGCATTAAGAGAGTATAAGAAATGCAGGTGTTGATTATGGAGGTGGGATTCAAAAGGCAAAGCTAGGAAAATTGAAAACAGCAACCCTGAATACCCCTCCCCGTGTGACAAGGGATCCCTGTGCAGGGCAGCGCCAGGCAGTCCCAGGAGAACCAAAGAAAAGCTTGAATCATTGAAATGGCCCATTTATCCCACAAGTCATCTGGCTGAAAAATTGGAATGGAGGTAGTTTGCCCAAAGGCAGCACTCTTAGGGTGAGGTCTCAGCACAGGTCCCCCACTGCCTCTTCGGCAGAAGAGGCTTCACCAGGGTAACGAGGCAAACCTGTGCTTTTCAGTGTGTGCCTCTAGAGCTGTTTTGAGTTCTGGAAGTGATTACTGACCAGGTGGGGGAACAGACGCATAGCTAATTCTGGAACACTACAGCAAGAGCATAGAATGCATAGAAAGAGAATTGAATGCATAGACAAGCAGACAAAAACCTGCCCTTTGTCTCTAAAGGGAGAAATAGCAACCGTGCATTCCATTTGAGCTAGAAAAACCTGTTTGTCAGTCAGTCCAACTGCCCAGAATTCCTTTGGCCTGAGTGCATGTTTGCCTGGACCCACATTCACCGGGGCACGTCAGAGGGCCCGGCTTTTCTGAAAAGCCAAAGGGCTCCTTTACTCAGATGTTCAAATCTTCCAAGCATATGCTTCTGGAGAGGGTGTGGCCCAACTGCCCACAGTGGCATCTGCTGCAAGCCAGCAGCGTGTGGTGAGCAGGTTGCCCACCAGCCTCTCTGATACCATTATCAAATCCACGGCTGCCAGCTGGTAAAAGCAATGCAGACCTAATCAGATACCCTTCCCCTCCTTGAGAATGCACTTGGCATTCTAAAAGCAACGTTTGGTTTCCTACCCCATTGACTTGCAGAAGCTGGAGTCTAACCTTAAAGGTATCGAATCATCGCGTCTGGTATTTCTGCATCTCTGAAATTCTGGCATACACTGAGTCTGCTTTGGAAATTGCAGATTCAATGGATAGCCCTGTGGTGAAGCACACCAAGTAAAGAGCTCTCCCCTCCCCCGCCAGCTCCTAGAGCCGCGTCTCAGAAGGCTGCTGAGAGAAGGCAGCTCTAGGTCTGGCCTATTAGACCATTGCACCCTTCACTGCAGAAATTCAGACGCGTCACTGACACTTCCTGATTTTGCAGCCAGGGGTGCTGTGCTGTTTCTGGGGTGCGTCCTTCATGTACTTCAGCTGCCATGCATCTGAGGCTCCGGATCTTTGAAGGCAAAATGTTTTCCTCAATGAGTTTATCAATTGTTAACTTCAAGCATCATACTGATTATAATAAAGCCCCTGCATTTCTTCTCCTGGTTTGATTTTCCTTATTTTTAGGGGATTTTTCTTTTACATTTTACTGGAGTTGTTAGGTGGTTTCTATAGAAATAAGAACATTCGTGTGTGATGAGTATTTTCACAAATTGTTTCCCAGATACAGAGTCGAAGTTGGACATGTGGCACTTCAAGTCCAATCACCCACTTTCAAATGTCCTAAAATGGAAAAGCTTCAGGCAGTTGATTAAAATGTCTTACTTGGGCCTAGCAGCTGGCCCTGTGCTAGTCGTCCTTTGGGAACAGACTTACGAAGGAATTATAAGCAGGAATCCCAGGGGTGGCTGTGAGCAGCTTTTGACAAACAAGGCATCTGCCTTTCTTCAAAGGTCTCCTGTAACCTGTATGAATAGGATACAAAAATAATCACAACTATTCAGCCTCAAGATCCAGAATCAGGTCACAGATCTGCACTGGGTTGGGGAGAGGCGGGAGAGGGAACTCCTGGCATTTTCTCACCCAGTACCCTATTTTCTCACCCAGCGAGGACCTGGGGTGACTTCCAACCTGGAGTGCTGGCTCACATGCACACAAGCACACGCCTGAAGCAGAGGAAAACTGTTGCCCATCCTCAGTCCAGGTTCTTTCACAAGCTAGGTGTGGACGCATGTGAGCCTGCGTGTGCTTTGGGGAGCAGAACTTCAGGGTGTGACAAGCCCCCAACTTGAACAAGAACCAGCCAGCTGTAGAAACGCCACACCTAGGCACCTTGAGAGGGGGCAGGGCTGCAGGGAGGGGCGGGAGTGGAGAGGCAGTGCCAGCCCCAGCAGGTTTTTAATTGATAAATTATTTTTGAAACATCTGCCGCCTGCCTCAGTGGCTCGGGTGCTCTCCTACAGTTCTGCAGCGTTTCCTAACTTCACAGTTGCTATGCTGCTTACACGCTTCTTACAAACCAGAGTGAACCTTTTTCTCCAAGACCTGGCATCCTGCTGGCCTTTGCAGTATGAAAAAAACAACCACCAAGGCATTGCATAACCCTCCCAGGAGGCAGCTACAGCCATGTGCTCCTGAAAGACAGAGGCGGGTGTGGGTGGTGACAGTTAACCAGGAGACTCTGAGTACTTGCAATTTCCTCCACAGTTGTATGAGCCCGGATTCTCTGGAGAAACAACCGGCAGGATGTGAATAGTAGGTAGGTAGGTAGGTAATTAGTTCTAAGGCATTGGCTCAAATGATTTAGGAGGCCAGCAGGCAAGTCCCAAATCTACAGGATGGGCCCGCAGCCTGGAGACCCAGAGAAGAGCCAGTGTTGCAGTTCAAGTCCAAAGGCATCTGCTGGCAGCATTTTCTTCTTACTCAGGAACTGGGGCAGGGAGAGGTCAGTCTCTGTTCTATTAAAGGCCACCAACTGGTTTGATGGGGTCCACCCACATTATGGAGGGCATTGTATTTCACTCAGAGTTCATTAATTTAAATATAAATGTCAACCAAAAACACCCTCACAGAAACACTTAGAATAATATTGGACCACCTGTCCGGGAACAATGGCCTAGCCGAGCTGACATGTGACATGAACCCTCATCACACGAGTTGCCTGCAGCTTGTGTTCTTCAGACCCTCGGGGCACCTGGAATCTTTTTTTACTTTGACCACATTGAAGCATCTATACATCTCACCACATTTTGTCCAACGTTTAAGTTCCTCTTCCCCAAACAGACTTTCTATAATTCGATTAAGGGCACTTAGAACAAGAAAATTAATTTTTTAAATATTTTTCATCCTCCCCTACAACCCTAGATATTATTATAAATTCAACTGCCATGCCTTCAAAAACATCCAATTTGTCAGCTGGAAAAGTCCCAATGTGATATAATCTGGAAGATTTGGAACTCTACCCAGAAGCCCTGAATGAGCTTTTTGATTACATTTCAGCATTGGCATTCTGTGCTGTTGAGGGTCACCTAAAAGAGCCCAACATTTTGTAACACAAAAGCTCAGTTTTTGCCCAATTTGCCAGAAACCCACTTGTGTCGTTCTTCATGTAGCGATAGTTAGAGAATAAGGAATGTGCTTGGAGTTCTAATAACAGTCATTATCTCTAGGGCAGTGCCTTCCACCTGGGGGCGATGTGACCCCCAGGGAACATCTAGCAATGTCTGGAGACAGCTGAGGACTGGGGACAGATGCTAGTGGGCAGCGTCTACTGAGCAGAGGCCAGGGTTGCTGCTAAAAATCTTACAATCCACAGGACAGCCGCCACCACGAAGAATTATCCACACCAAAATGTTGACAGTGTCAAGGCTCAAAAACCTTAATGGTCCTGTTCTAGAAGTCCATGACATGCAATGATACACTAAACAATTAAAAGGCCAATTCCCCTCATCCTGGAATCTTGTGGGGGAAATAATATGTGTGTTCAGTGGCAAGGACACTGAAGTGGAAGCAGCTAAAGAAACTCAAGCTGTGTCTGCATTTCAGTCCCTGGAGCAGAAAATAGCAAATTGCTATGATGCAGATTTGGTCCCCAATGCAATGGAAATTTTTAGACAAAGCGAATCTTTTCCTTCAGGGAGGCATGCAGCAGTTCTACGGCATCAGGGCCGTTTTCCCAGCCACCAACACAAAGAAAAACAGAGATACATGTGCCTCGGTGGCCTCCCCAGCACACTTACCTCAACAGCCACCACAGACACACGGGCTTTTGTCTCAGCGCCCTAACTGTTCTCAAAAGAAGGTCTAGAAATCTCGGTCCAAAAGATACAGCCTATTTTCCAAGATGGACCGCGAGTGTCTCAAGCCAATTAACCTCAGGATTATCAGTAGATAATTCTGTTTTCAGTATTACTTTGTAATTAGTTTTGGTTTGGTTTTTTTGTTTGTTGTTAACAGATCAGTTATTTAATTAGTTTTTTCCAAAGAAATTTAGAACTACATCTTGTGAGGCTAAAGCCCATTTGTAAGAGCAAACACAGAGCGGAGGTAGCCCTGGGGCTGAGGAGCAGCTTTGGGTTTTGGCAGAATTTCCGCATCCCCGGTTTTCTGATCGACATTGCGTTGCTCTGTAATCTCATATTTCTCTTTCCCGGTGTCGAAGATTCTCCCCCTCCTGTTGTCTGGGCTTGCAAAGCTTCTTCGTCTTGAAATAAGTGTCAGTGAGATGCTTGTAATTAGTTTTGTAAGTGAAGAACAAAGGAGAAAAATTGGTGTCTCTCTGCAGCTAAGCATGGGGTGAAGGGCAATGAAACAGGTATAGCTAAAGTTTTTCAGACCAGAGAGTCAGCTCACCTTGCATCCACGTCCCCCCCCACCCCCCAGCACCCCTCCACAAATCCTTGACTCCACCACAGAAGGAGGAATAAAAGGCTAGCTGTGAACTCTTGAAGAATGGGGTCATTTCCTAAACTCCTGGCACTTCCCCATCACCCGACTACCTAGACTGTAGACTTGGGACACTAACATCCTTTCTATCCCTTGGACACTGAAGATGTTCAGTGCAGCTTTTAGCTGCAACATGTACAACAAAGATGACATCATACGGGACCAGAAACGAACAAACAAATACATTTCACAGCATGAGATGAAACAAAAGTTTGCGGAAGCCACATGCTTTATCATAAAAATCTCTGCCTTGGGTGCCAATGATGCCTGTGCCTCAGTACGTCAGTTGCCTAGAAACTTTCAGGTTCAGTCACTTCCGAAAAGCACTATTTCAGGGTGCCGTCGCTAACTGGAGAAGCCGTGTGACTACAGAAGTCACTCGGTGTAAATGAGCCCCACTTTCAATAGGTTCAGACTCATCCTAATTCTGATCACCAAAAATAAAGAGTATGAGATGCCGTATCATAGCAGAACCGGAAAGCAAAGTAGAAGCCAGAGCACTGTGAGTGAGCCTCCATCCTCACCCAATGGGACCAGTGCGAGAAACCCACATCCTGACACGTGCCTCTTCTCAGACAAGTAAATGTAAAACGGGGCTTAAGAAGACAGATGTAGGAGTAGAAAGGCTCTCTGAACAAAAATAACAGTAACCGCCTCCGTCCAAAAAAAGCTTAAAAAACAAACCCCAAGAAACAGAGTTTGGAGTAGCCACAGTCAGTTTTACATAAAGACAAAAAGAAACTCCCTCAGATGATGTGTGAGGCCAAGTCACAGACGGTTAACCGCCCTGGGATGATGCTAAGCCCATCGCGACAGTTAAAACAACTAATGAAATCCCTCATACATTTACTGTTTGGGCTTCACAGCTAAAGCTTTTCTCATGCCTTGATGCTATTTTTCTTTCAACTTAGTAGGTTACGTTATTTAACGACCCTTATAGAGGCTCTGGGCATGTCAAAAGGATCCCCAAGGGAAAGTTGCCCTGGGAAACACCAAAGCCAGGAGGTCCTGACTTGGAGGCACAAAGCTGTGCAGTGTCTAAAGAGAGTGGGCATGGATTTGATAAGCAGGTATTTTCCTCAGGAACAATTAGATAACCTCAATGTAAGACGATGGTAAAGAGGCATCCATTAATTAATACTGTGTTTAAACTATATAAATTTCACCAGAGTTACACAATTTTTCATGAATTGCAAAGGCATCGAAGTATACAGATTACCCTCAGGAGTAGATTCTGGACCTGAGTCACCATGACCACCACCACCACCACCACCACCACCATCACTATCCTCAGTCACCATCACCACTACCACTTGTAGGAGACCAGCCCCCCTCAATGGCAAACATTTACTGCAAAATAACTTCCTAAAATCCATGCTAAACCTTCCAAGGATGAGTGTAAACAGTTCAAACACGTTTGCCTTTTCACTTGTAAATATCTCTCTTCTGTGATGTGATTAGCAGCATTGGCTCCTTTGTTTTCTGTAAAAAGTAACACCTGAAGCAACCTGTGCATAGTAAATGAGGACCATCAGTTAATGTGCCGAGAAACCCAATAAAGGCCGCAGCTTTTGCCCCCCCTTGAGAGAAAAGCCATGCTGTCCCTTTTCCTCCACAGGACTCGGTAGTCTGCGTGAATGTCTCATTTCCTCCATAA